CGCGGCGAGCCGCGGTTAATTTTTTTCGTTGTTCGTATCACAGCGACAACAGGCTCTCCGCGATGAGACGACTACGAGGACGAGTGAATCGACGACGATGCTCGACAGTGCTCATTAATTTGGTTGAACGACAGGATTATTGTGCGATCGATCAAAAAGTACCAGAGCGAAATGGATTCGCTTCTCGCCCTTTTAACGCGCGCGTCTCCGCGAGTGTACAGCACGGTCGTTCGACATCTACGAGCACGGGCACGACCGTTTCCTCCTTTTCTTTTGCGAGTCGCACGACCACTCCAATTAGATTAATTAAGCCAGCCACACGTACATGCGTCACGGGATAAAACAATGGCCTCGGGTGTTTCTGGCGAAGCGACGGGGTGGAAAGGAAGGGAAAGAGGGGCCACACAGTGGTGGAATTGTCACACGCCAGAGAATTTCAAGTAGATCCACTCGCTTGTATGCAATCTCCGGCCGAGAATGGGCAAGCGGCGTGATCGTGCGGCCTGCTGTAACATCCACGCTGCCCTAAAAGAAGCGTATAAAGCTCCGTTAATCCGTGTCTGGTGCACCGGAATCCAGTCTAGATAGACCCACGAATGGCCGCGGCAATTTCATTTGCAGAGGGTGGAATCGTTAATCAAACCCGTGGCACGGTGAATGCGCTAGAAGCCTGGCGACTATACTCGTGCCCGTCGCCACTGGTCCGCGTTTTTTTCCTTCTCTGTATATGAAATATATTTGTACCTGTATTTGTATGTTTACGTTTGTGTAGGTAGGTAATGCACATGGCGTGATAAAACGAAAATGCTGCGAAGAAAATGAGAAAAAAGAGGGAAATATGTATATGGATGTTTGTACGAGCCGGTTGCGTGTATAACGTTGCACGTTTCAAAAGGAGTCCTGCCATCGCGGCCGCACTTATGTCCTCGACTCCTCTCGTCATGCAGAACGTAAAAATTTATTGGGACGCGTTGCAATTTTAAGTAGTACCAACCCAGTTACCGTGTTTTTCGAGATTCCTGCTACAATTTTCTTTCTGTGCTCCTAAGTAGGTTAGAATATAAAATTGACTTTATTAAATAATTTAACGTTTCGATGAAGTTCTTTTTTACATCCGTTTCCATCGCATACTGTGGCTGCAAAAAGTATTGGCACACTGCTGTATTTATTTAACATATAATACAATATAAATATGCTACAAATAAAGAATCCACCATGACATATATTTAATTAGAATAAGATCTATTTTATCAAAAGGATTAATAAAATATAAGAGAATTAGTACTCTATCTTATGTATCCACTTCCAGCCGCGATCACTTGAATCCTTTTTACCGTCAAGATAATCGTTGTAATAATAATCTTGGTGATCTTGGTCGCCACTGTATCCCTTATGATCTCTGCAATCGTGTCCCTGCTCGTAATAATCTCTTTTACCATAATGATCCGCCTCGTGTTCATCATAATCGTGACGATCATCCTTATAATCTCCACCTTTCTCTTCCTCGTGACCATAACGATAACCGCCATGTTCCTCGTCGAAATCAGAATCATGCTCTTCGTCGTAAAGCTCGTTGTGATTCTGATATTCGTTCAATTCCTTTACCTCGTGACGACCATGAGTGCCATGTCCATTGTCATAATGGCCATTGTCGATCAACTTTTCACCCTTTTCACTTTCCCTACCTACATGATGTTTATCGTAACGATCGTCGTCATGATGATGGTATGTCTTCCTTTTGCCATCATCGTCGTAATACCCGTAACCTTTGTCCAGGTTATCGTGACCTCTGGTAACTTGGTCCGCTTCGTGATAACATTTGTAGCCCGTATCGGCGTGATCACTAGCTTTGCCTCGGTGAATAGCGTAACGATCGTTACCACCACGTTCCTCGTGTCGATGGAAATGAAAGGTAGCCGCTGGTTGCAGATCCTCGTAATTAATGCTCGTCGCGAAACTCACGGGCGCCAAAATAGCCAGAAGTATCAACAGACATGGACCTCCACGTACGGCAAACATATCGGTTTTCTTTAATCTCCTGCTGGCCGAGTTCCTATTTTTTGAAGAGGGCGCAAATGTGTATCTAAAGTTGGGCGATACGGTTGATTGGAAGAGTATATATTGATTCGCGGTTAGTGCTTCGTGTTTCGTCGTATTTTTCTTAGGCGAGTGGTTCTGAAAGTACAGCTCGGAAAAAGATTCGCTTTGCCTTTCTTTTTTAGGCAAGGGGAAAGCAAATTTGGAAATTGTATCGTATGTAGGTCGGAACGATCGGTGGATCGCGCGACGTACAGCTTCATAACGTGATGACATATTTCTATCGATTCAACGTGAATTAATCGTACTGAGTATTTATCATTCGAGAATAGCGGTGAAAGTGATGAAGATAATGAAAAAGTAGCTTCGTGTACACTGGAAACTTTGCGTATTTCTATTTTATTTCTGTGGTTTGTATTATGATATTTTATATTTCTATTTCTACCACCATATACATTCACTCTAACATACCTGAGAAATTGACATATTAAAAATCCATACTCCCCTAAAAACCAGAAATAGTATATAGGCAAGCGAATTAGTTCAAAATGGACGAATAAAAGACTATTACTCTTCACAAGAGATTCTGTATTTAAAGTGTCTTCCATCGTCATTTTCTTTACCTGTCACAGAATTTTGCAGCGGGTTCACAGCGTAAATGTAGTGCAGCGAAATAGTCAGTGCGAAGGATTCGTTTGCGAATATTCGTTCGGAAATGTTACGCGCCAAGTGAACGAAACTGGCGATATTACGGCAATGTAGTTGGCTGTTACAGCCAATATGATGCGGATGTGTGAAAATCTAACTTTTATGTCTTTCACCTCGATGTACCGTATAATCACTGTTAGGAAAAACATGCAAAATTTAACCAACGTGACCTCCGTGAAGAGAAAGAGCATCGCCTGATGTCCGATCCATGCTATGTTGGAAAACACATTTGCTACGTGTTACAGAAGTTAACGGACTGCTGTGTGAATTCGAATGTTTTGCAATCCGGTTTATCCACCTGACCGTAACGAGAGAAATTATATAATTTCGGTTGCGAAATATCGATATGTTGCATTAAATAATGACTTAGTCACTGACTGTTCCTAATTTACTGTTTAGTACAGATACGCTACATTATGTTTTACAGAATTCGTGCATGTTTCCAAAAAAGTGTACGAAACGTTTAGCAGATGTAGGCACATTGTTTAATACCTATATGATATATCAGAAATATACAGGGTGGTTGTTAACTGGTGGTACAAGCGGAAAAGGGGTGATTCTACGCGAAAAAAGAAGTCGAAAATATAGAATAAAAATTTAATAATTTAAAAATTTAAAAATTTAAAAATTTAAACATTTAAACATTTAAACATTTAAACATTTAAACATTTAAAAATTTAAACATTTAAAAATTTAAAAATTTAAAATTTTAAACATTTAAACATTTAAACATTTAAACATTTAAACATTTAAAAATTTAAAAATTTAAAAAATTAAAAAATTAACAGTGAGATCCGTTATAACGAGACGCGATAAAGCGCACGCATACCGAGCGAAGATTCAAAGTCGATTTTCTCGAAAACAAAGCCTCAAACGAAAAATTTTTATTCTATATTTTCGACTTCTTTTTCGCGTAGAATCACCCCCTTTCCGCTTGTACCACCAGTTACCAACCACCCTGTATAATATTATATTGTTTAAGGGATTGTTTAAGCTGGCGTCATGCAGTGTTTTAAAACGATTGCTTGACTTTTGAGAAAAAGATTATTTTGACCATTTTCTGTTACTTAATTCTTCGAGTTTCTAGATCCTTAAGAATGCATCCTTGTCTATGACGCTCATGGTTATAAAATAATTCACTGCAACCTTTTACGAGGAGAAAAGACACCGACCGATGAATAGCACTCTTCAAAATGGCAGAGATTACTAACTACTGTGTAAATATTATCATATCACATTTAAATAATTTGTATATATATGGTAGCTAATATTAGTATAATATTAGTATAATTCAAAATCTTTAAGAATTTAAAAACTTGAGGAGAAACTAAGAGAATAAGTAACTGGAAATGCTCTAAATCATGACTTTTTCTGGCCAAACAGCTATTTTGAAATACTGTACGCCTTGAAGAAATTAAGAAAGCAGAGAAGGGTGGAAATAGATAGAGAAAGTGCATTTTGTCCTGATGTATATGTATCTCTTTAATCATAACAATATCAAAAAATTTGAAATTCGATTTAGTAGGTCAGGGAATCGGTTTGTTAAAGAAATCGCTATATATACATTTTTGATTCGTGATATCGGTATTTAATGTTGTCGCCAATTGTAAAAGGATCTAGATCAATCCCGTCTGCTATTAATTCTGGAACCTAGATTGCTTTACATTGTTTCCTATAGCATAGTTGTTGCAGTCGAAGTGTGATTGCATTACGTGGAATCCGTAGTCATTGTAACTGTTCTCGTGGAAACCTATTGATTCCTCAGCTGATCTCTACATTTCCTGGTATATATGTAGAGAGAGATTGTAAAGATACGAGGTTCATGTTTCAATGAGATTGAGTTATGAGAACAAATCAATAATTCGTGACAAAATTTACGATAATCGATATAACGAAAATTTTTATCAATTTTCTACATGAGATACAGACTAATACAAAATCATTATTTCCCGAAATTCAGTTGTATACACCGTCCTGCTACTTTTACTTACTCTTACTATTGAATTCCTTTTAATTAATCGCTTTTTTTATAATCTGTTCAAATAGAAAACAAATTCAAAACCTTAAAGACATAAAATTATACCAAACGTATGAAGGAATATATTCCAAAGAATAAAGGGAGAAAATTTAATCGTTAAGGGATGGTTTTTATTATTAAAACAAAACATGACGATTCACATTTCAATGTCTAAAATTAATCAACGATGTAGTAAAAAACAATTGAGACAACAAATATAAGAAAATTTCATTGCATTTGCTGCTTCTTTTAATGGTGTCCACCATGTCCACCGCCACCTCCACCGCCACCGTGACCGCCGCCACCATGGCCGCCACCGCCACCGCCGCCACCGCCACTCGAATATCCATGTTTCTTTCCTCCATGGTGCTCCTCCTTCTTCCCATAATCCTCGTGATGCGAGTAATGATCATCGTGTCCATGTTTTCCATGGTAACCTTTATGATCATCGTCGTAATGCCCTTTATCAAAGTGACCCTTCTTTCCATGATGGTCCTCATGATGTCCAGAATGATGATGACCACCCTTCTTGTGATGTCCATCTTTACTCTCATGGTGTCCATAATGATCACCATGTTTCTCATGATGACCTCCCTTGTGGTAGTCATCATAGAATTTGTGCTCTTTGTGATATTCATCCTTATGGGCTTTGTGATGATAACCATGGGTCTTCTCACCTTTCTTATGACCCTTTTTGTGTCCATATTTTGAACCCTTGTGCTCATCCCCATGCTCATGATGGTGCCCGTGCTCTTCGTGCTCATCATGGTGTCCCTTTTTGTGCCCACCATGTTCTTCGTGATGACCTTCATCGTGATCCTTACCATAATGACCATGATCACCTTTGTCATGATGATGTTCATGTTTGTACCCTTTTTCACCCTTTTCACCATGTTCATCATGATGATGTCCATGGTGGTCGTGACCACCGCCTTCCTCATGATGGTGACCATGGTGGCTTGCTGACATTTCGAGGTCTCTTTTATTCCTCAGCTCCCTCGCCATGGATAAGGAGATAAACGTACAGATCACGGCTAAGCCGAGATACGGCCATAAACTCTTCGCCATGTTGGTTGCTTTGTAGACCAACGAGTGCTATCGACTGATCACATCGCTTTAAAGCAAAGCTTATATACCTACCGTCATAGTCGCGTTTCATACGTAACCGCTTTCGTTCGGTGGAATCGTTGCTCTCTGGTACTACACATCACCGCTGAGTGTTGTTCGAATAAACTTTTATTGGGAATAAAATTTTATTTGTTCATTCGTTCGTTATTTGATTTCAATCCCATATTTGTTTATTTGTTTATTCGTCCGCTGGTTATTCCAGTTCTTCTTTGTTTTATTTAATCTATTTTTCGTAATAAAATCTAAAGTTGCTATAGAACTGAAATATATAGTCAGATTATCAGGATAAATATCGTAATGTAAGCCTATCTATACTTGGAATTTTTTTGAAAATTTCTTAAGATAGATACGCACAATATACATCAGATTTAAATAACTTTTTTCGGAAAAAACTATATACTTAAATCAAATTGAAATAAAATTAAGCCAAGAAAGAAATTTATTTGTACTTTCCTGCAAATTTCAAATTATGAATGACTCTACTATACGTCGCAAGTAAAAAAATACGCTATAAACAATTAGCTATAAACAACAAATTATTGAAATTCATTCGTCATCATTTTGTTTATAGCATTGTCTATAGCATTTTCGCATAGCTTTCCAAGTCTCGTATTGTTGTTCATATATTCTTGACAGAGATTACTTTTCCGAGTAGGATAGAGACGTTAAGTGGCAAATATTGATTGCATTAATACGCTTTTTCCAAACGGCTAGGAACAGTCAGCGTTTTTCTTCATCTACGGAGTAATTAGCTGTGAAATAAATTAACGTTATTTACTCGAGGCATGGAAAGTACAGGGACAAATCAAGCATCGCTAACGTGACACTCGATAAGAAGCCAATCAATTTGTAGACGGCTGAATAACGGTCGGACGTTTATTACAAAACAGCCGAGTAATATGAAAATATTTCACCGTTCACCGAACTTCTTTCTGCAACGATAGTTTCTCGCTTTCGTTCCCGATTCAGTATTGGGCAAAAGTTATTTCGACTGACAAATAAAAAGATGTACGAATCAATCGAACATGGATCGTAAAATCGAATCGAAATCAAAATTTTCACAAAGGGACCGAATAAATTGCTTTTTGAAAGGAATGGACGAATAAATCTAGTTTGAAGTTTGTTTCAACGAAATTATTCAATTAATTATACTCATTATTCGAAATGAAAGTTTACTACCTAAATTTCTTTCATTCTTGTCACAGATTTCTATCGGCACCAATTAATTTTTGCGAGCTGAATATGAACATAAGAAATGGAAATATTTCACTTTCGACGTAACAATTATTATATTCTGCGCAGAACGAAGAGATCAACTGTGTCGAGGAATTCCGTAAAAGGACGACACGATCGTTTTGCGATTGCTGAACAACATTTGTACTCGTACATATTCGCATTGATAAATCTAAAATTTTATACTTATATTACATTTATATCACATTTATATCATATCTACATGTACGCAACTAAATCCGAAATAAAATTGTTTTTAGCCACCCTAAGAGTAATTGTAAAAATGAAAAATCACTAATACAAAAACAAATGCATGATACAGAGTTCTTTGATATAGCTAAAATTCTAGATCATGGTGAAAACCCCAAGTTTATTAAAAAATAGAAAGTACCGAAAATCAGCCCACCATTACGAAAGAACACATTGTCTGCATAATAACTTAGAAAAAACGTAGACGAGAGAAAAGTATTGTTTACATGTGTCTATATCTTACCAACAGTTTGGACTAGCAATCTAGTTGCATAACGGTCTCGTTTGACGGCGCCGATCCGATCGAAATCGATGAATTGCCAACTGAACGGGTTAAAGAGACGTTACTTTCGCAACACGGTAAAGAGCCAGCGACGGAACCGCTGCTTCCTTAATATCGATTATTCCCCGTTCGATATATAATCCGAGCGTGGTTGCCGGATTAATCATACCGAGCGCAGCGTCGGAGTCGAACGTATCGATTGTATCGATCGAATTCCGACCGATCGGCACCGCTATGAAGTCTCGTCCAGCGATTTGTTTATTGTTTGCTTGTATCGTCTGTCAGTTGAGCTCGATCGTTGCGCGAGAGATCTACAAGAAAGACGATGATCTAGCTGTGGCAGCCTCCCATCATCATCATCATCACGAAGAGGGTGATGGTGGAGAGCATCATTCTGATCATCACAGCAATCACGGTGATAAGGGTGAGAAAGGCTACAAGTCGTCTCACCATCAGGAGAAAGGGGAAAAGGGACATCATGACAAAGATCATCACAGTGGTCATTACGACGAGGGTGAAGGCCACAAGAAGAGTCATCATCATGACGATGGTTATTATTCTGAACACCATAAAGGAGAAAAGGGGGAGAAAGGACACAAATTCCACGAAGAAGGTCACTACGGAAAGGGACACAAGACGAAGGGACACCACGAAGTTCATAAATTAGACGAATTTAAGAAGGATAAAGAATTCTTCGATGAACACCATGATTCTGGACACCATGAAGATCATGGTGGTCATTACCACGAACATGGTCACAAGAAAGGTGGACACTTTAAGAAGGGACATCACGATCATGGAGATCACGAGGATCATTATGGAAAGAAAGGACATTATGAAAAGGGACACCATCATCACGATGATAAAGGACATAAAAGCGAAGGTGGGCACGATGAGCATCATAGTCATCACTCTCATCATGGCAAGAAAGGAGGACACGATGATCACAAGTCGTGGGGATTCAAGAAAGGACATTAAGCATGATTCCTATTGATTGTTATGTTTGTTGAACATCGTGTTATGTTGATCTTTGTATCTGATCGAAATAAATACAATTTCTAAAAGAAAGTTATTTTGTTTAAAATGAACTATTTTCTTGCTTGTAAAATTGTTTGTTGCTTAAGTAGAGTTATCTATCGCGATCATGCTATTTTGTTTCTATGAAAAATACGGTCAATTTATATTATAGGGAAAACATTAAAATACTTGGATCCTTTATGATGTTTATTACAATTGTAATTTACTTGAGTTAACATCAATTACTTTTTTAAATTATGATAACTATTTAAAAGAATCCTTAAATAATTATTAATTTTGTTCTATCACAAACTCTACTGAGATACGATCAGTTTATTTATAAAAATCTTCGTTTATTTGGATAGCAGAGCGAAACAGTCTAGGATTCAGCGGTTATGTCAAAACTTTTGTTTAGCAATACTTCTGTTCTATTTGACAGATTCGAATCTATCGATTTGTAGTAAGTTTCCCAATACTTTAAGTTTTTGCATTAGACACGTTACGCTACACTAGCAGCCCTTAAAAAATTAGGTCAATAACACTTTCTAAATTTATATTTTCTAATTACATCACTCGATTAAGTAACAGTTAAGTAACAGTAACACGATTTAAATTCCGCATTTCAAATGATTCCTGATCTATCTTTGTAGTTAAGTGCCACATATTTTAGACATTTTTAGACATATCTAGACAAAAAAATTTTGACATAAAAATTAACATTAGGAAGAATCACAGTAGTTATGCTCTATTTTTTTTTATTATTATTATGGAACGTAGTTTACGATATAAACAAAACAACAACACGGCTTGTAATATCACCGATACAGTAAATGATACGATATCGATCAATCATCTCCTTTATGGAACTCGTGTATTCTATCCGATTTTGAATCCTTTTCGACATTATAATCCTCGTGGTTTGAATAATGCGACTTTTCGCCTTCTTCGACCTGTTGACCTTGATCCTGGTTGTCATAGTGTCCCTTATCGTAACTTCCTTTCTCTCCATGATCTTGATAATCACGTCCAGAAGAATGATGTTCGCCTTTCTTAAAATCACCCTCGCCGGTCTTGTAACCTTTGTCGAATTCCTCGTACTCCTCGAAATCACCCTTCTTATAATCATCGTCGTAAAAGTCCGTTTCCTTCTTGTATTCGTCCTTGTGATAGACATTGTGGAAACCATTAGTTTTCTGCCCCTTCTTATGGTAGGACGAATGCCCGTAACTACTTCCTTCTTTGCCTTTCTCTGCCTCCTTGCGGGAACCATGTTTTTCATCTTCGACCACGTGTCCCTTTTTGTGTTTACCTTCGTTCTTATGGTATCCTGAACATTTAACAGCGATTATGCGAATGCAGATTCACTTTACTACGAGGGTATTGATTATGAATCAAGTATACTACAATTTGCAAATAGAAGCATTTTACTACAAAAATTTCATTTTTTCTTCTTAACCCATTAACGACCGAGCAGTCGAATATGTTTTAAGATCGCATACTCATTGTTAAAAAATCTAAAGGAAGTAAGTTATTATGGTAAACAACTAAAAATTTTTGCTCCAAAATCGTATTAAAATAATGGATATATTACGAAAGTCCAGATATTAGAGGAAAGGATTTAGCAGTAATATCGAACCATAACATCTACGAACATAATTTCGCGTGATCATCATATATAACAAACCTTCAAAAGACAACAAACCTTCCTCGTGTCCACTATCGTCGCTGCCAGATTCCGCTTTACTAAACTCTTTCTCCTTCTTATATCCCTTTTCTCCCTTCATCACTTTCTTCGAATACTCTTCATTCGCGTGTTTCTCTCCCTTTCCTTCCTCCAAAAAACCTTCATCACCCTTAGATCCACCGATTGTCTCATGATCGTAACCATCACCATGGTCGAACGTTTTCACCGATCCACCGTGATATCCATCGTGAATCTCTCCATCGATATCATCCCAATGATCAGTCTCTTCCTCTCCTCCTTCCTCGTCGCTATCATCCTCCATACTTTCCTCGTTACTACGATCCTCGTCGCCGCTCTTCTCCTGTGTTTCTTCTTTGTCATTCCCCTCGTTCTCGACGACCTTTCCATCAACGTAATACGGGACGCGTAGCAGAGGCTTGGTAGAGGCTACTGAGTGATCCAGCGATTGCTCGTTACCGTAATTGACAGTTCCTTGGTGGTTGGAGCGCACAACATCCTCGGCGCTTACATAGGGGTGCAAAAGCGTCGTTTCAGGAACACTGTGTGCAACAGGTGTAGCAACGTACTGCACGACGTCCGGTGCATGGTAGTACCGTCCACTTCCGTGATTGCTGTACTGAACGTAGTAAACCGGAATACCCTGTTGCTGATTGTACACGTAGCCACTGGCCGTCCCGTCGAGATCCTCCGCCATCATCTTCGTCAACGTCATACGCTCTTTCGCCGTTGGAGCAGCGTCGCTCTGGCAAGTTAGAAGGAACACGCACACTAGTGCTCTGGATAACATTTTATGGTAACGCAGATGTACAGGAATTGGTACAATCGGCAAATTTAAACGAAAGAATCTAATACCAATAGTTGAGTACGTTAGTTGAGTAACGTACGACGAGCGAGTTGCTTTAAGAAATTAAACGTTCGCCTGATTGATCTATGGTTAGTGTTATTGCCAGTGAACCGGAATACACACTGGTATGTCTATGAATCGGCGACTTCGCCTTATATATACACGTGATTCGCTGGGTGGATAAGGGATCGTAGAGTGGAACCGAGAGTATTCCACGGTCGAGCTCGATAATTCAAGTACACCGTGTTATTGACGGCTACCCGGCCTGTCCGCCGTGCGTTCTAGGGAAGCATGGGTGATTTGCGTAATGCATCGATACGACACTGGCATGGCCATTGACCGATCGCTTGTCCCCTTTGGGATACCTTTGGTCATCGTCATCGAGGATTCTATCGGGTTTTAATGTTGCAAGATACTTAGCTCCTCCTTAACTTTTTTATTCTCAAGTTACTATTTGCATGAAATACTATTTACGAAATTGTACGAAAGGTATAAGTGATTTATACAGAAATGTTGATATTTAGGAACGTGTAGAAATGTACAGAAATTTACGAATAGAATATAAGACAATTATAATTTCATGGTTAGTCTGGGCTGGAAGTAAGATTGTAAAAATCAAAGGGGGTAGTAGATAAATTTTAAACTGTTAATTTAGCGATGGGTAACGCGATACTTTTAAGAATCTGCGAAGCTATAGTGAAATTATACTAAGTTTAATTTAAGTAAAATATTATATATTATCGTTGCATAATATCCAAATGGACAGTAAGAAATTTACGCAATTTGTTGTCTTTAAAAAAGCAACATGTGCAAGCATGAAACCGAATGGTAAATGCGAAATTCTGAAATTTGGATGTAATTTGAAATGGACGAGTTTATGATACTGGCAGGATCATTCGCGTGACGTTCTATAACCCACGAACACGTTCGACAGCGTGAAAAGGAAGCCAGAGGCGATTCGAGCGGCAATTATTTGCAGCTCGATGTTGCTGCTTGATTGGTTCCGTAGGATCGGACGAGGAATTTTAAAAAACAATTTTTAACAGCGTAGCAGAATCGAGTTTAGCAATGTGCAAAACACGATGAGTCTAATGGAAGCTTACACCTCGTAAAAGTTGAATTATAAGAAACATCGGTGTTATGCAATGAAATTCTCGCAGTGTTACAAATTCACACGAAGTGTTGGTAGTGGTATTAGATATTTGCTATGAAAGTTAATACTTTACTATTGATCCTTCTATTCCAGTATAAACTATTTTCTAGTTCTATGATTTTGTCATTTTTAAGTACAGTATTATTTTTATATTTAAAGCAGTACAAATAACTTAAATTTAATTTACTTTAATTTAAGTTTAATTTAATTTAATGTCTAAATCCATAAACGACCGTGTGTACAATCTTACTTATTAATTACTAAACATTCTACTAGTTAACAAAGTTCTTCAAATAATCATTTCATCCCACTAACCTAAAATCTATTGTTGTGTAAACTCGACCGTTTGCAAGATTAAACTCGGTAAGTTCTCAAAGACACTACACTTTCTCACAGAAGAAACCGCAATTCTTATGTAAAGGACGCAAAGGAAAGTGCCGAAACACCTATCGTTTCTCTAATCCCACCATGCCTATTATCTACCCAAGGCTGGCATAGTTTCTCTCCAGTTCTAAAGGTGTATCGAACGCTAGATTAAGCACAGGACCTTGCACGTAACAAAAGAAGCCCGAGGTCACGCAAAAATTTCATAAAATCGCCAAAACTTCCACAGAGCCTATTCTTTTCGATGCATAGCTTCTGTAGCCATCCTGAGCGAGAGGCGATCGCGCCGATCGCTCGAGCGGACCGCATGACATATAAAAGAGCTCGGCTGATTTCGTCGCGATTACAGTAGAACCGAAAGTGTTTCCGTGAGCTGACGTGTCCCGAACAGTATCCAGCAAAACGATCCAGAACAACGAGAATACTGTTATCTATCCCACGTGTATATAATTTAAATTGAAATCTCAAATATTGGAAGAACAACTAGAATGTTAAGATTAGGCTAACATGTATATAATTTAAATTCGAAATTCAAAATTTTAAATTCAAAATTCAAAATTTTAAATTCAAAATTCAGAATTCAAAATTCAAAATTCAAAATTCAAAATTCAAAATTGAAATCGAATAAGCTTTGAAGCCAAAATAAATTTTGGTCATTTCACCAAGAAAATGAGAATCTTCAGAGGGTGGCATACTATTAATGCAGCGTTCTGCATACATGTGTACTCGACGATCATAATTAGTATCACGCAAGCTGATAAATTGCATCATGATGTTTGGGAGAGATATGAATCAAAAAGTATTGAGAAGAAGCAAGCTTTCAAAGAAAGCGATGACGAACCATCCTATAGAACGAGCTTTCAGAAGATGTTGATCCCCATAAAAGAACCACGCGTGGATAAGAATTTCCGAATGTTTCGAATGCCTTTGGAGCCAGACGCAGAGATACTGCCGGCTCACTACACAGGTGTCAAGCCTCCCGGAGTTGATCATATGGAACTGAAACACGCAGACTCTCAAATTTCTCAAACCGTTCCCAAAATTGAATCTTTGAAGAAGATTGAACAGGCCGGTAATCAACAAGTGTCTAAAAACCAAGAATCTGCAAGTGTAACTGGTGAAAAAGGATATCAGAAGGCCTCTTCGTTTGAGAAAGCATATAAAGGTGAGAGTTTGAAGAAAAAAGAGAAGACACGATATATTGAAGCTGGTGGGAAGAAGAAAGTTCATGAGAATAGGGAAGACAATTCAGGTCAAAGGGCAGAACAGATTGGAAGTAAAAAAGGAGGCAAACATAAAAAGAAGGACAGCAGTCAGGTGGATCACAAGGCAGCTGGTTATCGTAACGTTTATCACAAAGACGAGTATAAGAAGAATCATGATTTTTATGATAATGATGATCATGGCGGTCATTCGAAGGAACATGGAAGATATAAAGAGAAATACGTTGCTATCGAAGGCAAATTCAAGAAGGGTGACGCTCACGATTTCAGCTTCGACGAATCAGAACTTCGTAAGCGGAAAATATCGGGGAACTCCCAAGCTGGTGGAGAAACCAAAGGTCACAAGGCTCGGCGTAGTTACGGTTGATTCTTTAAAAACTACCAGGGACTCGCAAAGCAGGCAAACAGAAACGTCGGTGAGAGGTTTGGCTTCGGTCAAATGAAAGCGCGTTCATTCGCGTGCGCTTTTCACGGAGGCTGAAACTATTTGCGTGCACGGAAAGAGCGTAGATTTTATTTGTTAAAATAAATTGAAAATGAGTTGTGATTCGTTACTGCTTTATGAATATGCCTGCCTTTAATTTATTACACGTTAGTTTACCCCGCAAACATATTGATATTTATAATGCGATAAGTCGATAACTGAGAGAGATTGTATTATATGTGTTAATTAATTGTTTAGGTATTGCGATATATTTGGGTAATTACAACGCAATTTGTAGATCGATATTACTGTGAAGTTTCTTCAATTTTTACAAATTGCTACCTGTTTTGTATGTTAAGGGTGAACCTATATGTTATATACGAATATCTTTTATATTATATTATTGAATATTTCACGTCGTGAGATGTTTCTTTTAATTTGATATATTTGTACAATTATTAATGCACGGTTGGTGAACGTATTTAATTTCATCTTCTTCATTCTGGATTTTATGTTTCATATTTAATTAAAAACGCTTTATTCTTGAAGGAAATTTTTTACAAGAAAGACACTCCACGTTTAAAAACATTCGCTTTAAGATGGAAGGAAAATTCGTTTACATTTGTGGAACATATATTTTCGTCCATTTCTCTTCACCTTAACTAGAATAGCAACCTTCCTAGCGATCCAGAATTTCTCATTTCGAGTGTCATTGATTCGACAGGCGAATCTGGAGATCCAAAATACACTCTCGTATTTTCCGCTACTTCATCAGGAACGTATTGTTCAGTTTCCTTTTTTCTTCGCTGGTTTTATTTATATGATGCACGGGATCCCCTCGTTTCACGTGTCAGCAAGCTCCTGATTAATGGATATTAATAATGTAATAAATTGTAATCTTTCGGTGTATCGGATGAAGTGAGAATAAAAGAGAATAATTGATGCAAGCACGTCTATTTTTATATATAGATATATGTACATATATATAGATAAATAAATATATATACATATAGCATTGTCTCATTATCTTTATTCGAACATATGATAGTCTACAGTCCTCGTGTACCTGTGAATGCTTCTAAACTGAGTAGGCAGGTTTGTTTTCTCTTGGAAGTGTTATTTTTGAAGATTTATAGCGCGTTTGGTTTAGATCGCGATATAATAACAACCACCATATTTTCATGTCTATTGATGGATATTACATAATATGTATTTTTATGCTCCAACTTTTTATATCTTAAAGTTGCTTTCGTTTCGAGCGAGAAAAGAGCTTTCAGTGTTTCAAAAGAATTTTCTACGTGAAATGGAAACAAAAGATCATGTAAATAACGACTTTTTTACCTTCCAATAAACACGAAGTTTATGAAAAAAAAACTGCCTAGTTACTCTAAAAGAAATATCTACACAAAATTTCTCTTACTTTATACGTTCAATATTATTCTGTTGAATGACTAACACAAACTTCTCTATCCGAAGAAAGAGACTGGTCGAAGACAGGAAGGATTTCATTCAAATCCAAACATTTGCCCCTTGTAACGAAAGCAGAATATTCCTAAAGCAACCATTTGCACCTTTAATAAAATCAGAAACATGTAGGTAACTTATGTGAAACAAGCCCGTATCCGGTGACCCATTTAACCATTTCTGTACCTCTATTTCGCTACCCCTTTGCGTTCCTCTATCTTACATATGTTCAGGCGCGAGCGTATGATCCGCGCTGAATGTATATCGTAGCTATACACTTGTCTCTACGATACCTAAGTGCATACGCGTTTGTAGACCGGCAGAAATCTTGATGTGTTAGTGTAGAGTTACGGATTCTCTCAATCTTGTATACGCACACATATACACGCAACACATCAAGACAAAAGTGGCGTGTGCACACGCCACTATACGAACGTATATGTATGCGTGTGTATGTCCATATAAGTCTATGTACGTAACGTATGCGTACGTGTGAGCGCGCGTGCGTATAGATAACCGTATATCAAAGGCGGTGAAACGCGATGCGAGTAATACATAAATCAGCTGGTCTGCAGGCTGCCATATCATTTCGTACAACGGTCATGAATGAATAGAGCCGTGTGTGAGTTATCGTTTTACCTGCTCTTTCAAAATCTAACGCAGCTCGCGGGTCTTCGGTTTCTCGTACATTTATGTAATTCGCGCGTCACGTGTATCGCCAAGCTCGTACACTGTCATTCACAAGTGTGTGAAGTTGCGTATATACGAGCAAATTCCGCAACGAAACATAACACGATTAATAATTTCTTATACATATAATAATAATTCAGCGACACGATAGCCTCGACATCGTATCGAATTAGAAAAGCGAAAAAATTAATCCGCTTGATCACTAATGGTAAATACCATACACGTCGGAGGAACAAGATTAATACGGTCTTAAAAAATCATATTCGGGGATAATGATGTCGAGTGTTTTTGAGCGCCACCTGGATAATCCGTGTTTGCTGTTTATTTCGACGACGATCAAACAACTCGTTGATTTCACGGTTATCGAATTAATTTATGGGATAATATTTTATTATGACATTAATTTATCTTTGGCGTGAGTTTGTCCCGTACTCTCGTTAACCGAAATATACGTACATACGTACATAGATTTTTTGGCTGACGTTTGAAACATCGAACGATTAAGCGAATCGAGATACAATATTATACGTAAGAGGAGGTAAATCCTCCGCGTATATGCGCGTTTCAATCGATTGCAAGTAAGCTAGAAGTAATTTAAAAAATGTAACATAGCGATCGAAGGAAAATGTTATTTTATCGGAAAGGAGTGCTGAACGAAATGAAATGGCTGCGTCGCTCTTGAAAATGTATAGTAGTTCCATCCGCAAATGCCTCAGACATGTTTCGAAATACTGTCGAATTGGAAGCAGGAGAGCAACTTTTCATTGTACGGCAAAAAATTTGAAAGTAAAATGCAATGTAAGTGCACTTTTTACTATAGTTGTAGATTTAATCTGCAATGGTTACGTATATAACCTATACAGAAGTACAATTACATCGTTCACACTTACATTTACTTTAATAATTAAAAAGCATTGTACAAATTACTTGTGTATGTATAACTTACCTGTATTTCGTTGAAGAAAATATTCATCGCTTCGATCTTCTTATACACACGTGCAATTTTAAAGCTTCTAATATGAAATTAATGTCGTCCACAAATCCAATATACGTTTCCGCACATTTAATTTTACTGGAATATGTCTGTTCTCTTGATATAATATTCTCTATATTATGTTTCAACTTACATCACGATGTTACATATCGTAGAAATTAGGGCTAATTTTTATACGCGTATGCTTACTATTCTAACCTAAAAATTAATTACAAATTCTATATGTGGTAATTTCACACTTTACAGTATATATTTTATTTACAATACACAATTCGTTAATTTTGTCGATTTGTCTATTTCCTCTTTATCTTATCTACAGTAGTGACCATATAAATAGTAACATGTTTCTTCATAATATGAAATAATTATTGCTACATTCGCATGAGTGGCGATTCGTTCAAATAATCAAAATTCAACTGTAATATTTTATTCAAGGTATTACGCATGAATTATGAATTTACTAAAACAACATCCCCGATAACAGTCTAAATCAATAAATCATAACATGTGTAATTTAACATATTACTCAATAAATATTGTACTATTTAATGAAACTCTTCAAACAGACAACCATTTTATGCCAAAAATCCAACAAAAAATTCGAACATTTACAGAAGATCCTACTTATATCTTTGAAGATTCCTGTGTACTTACAAATTGATCAATGGATTTTCAGGATAAACCATTTTTCACAACTCGTTTAGCTCTACCTCCCGATTACGAGAACGTAGCAGATTTCATGTGCGAAGCATACTACAAACACGAACCGGTAATCATCAACATTGGTCTCGGAGGTACAGAGGCCCCACCTATTTGGAGACGTATGATGCTAGAACAAGTAAAGGCCGGATACTCGATCATCGCTGAGAATCGAGAGAATTGTATAATTGGTGCTGCCCTAAATTGTATAACGGACCGTAACGAACAGAAAATGTTATGCAAATTGGCAAGATGCTGCGAGGACGGACCTCTTCGCGATCTTATCGAATTTTTCGCTTTCGTACTCGAAGCACCTAAAGTTTGGGAACGTTTTCCCGTAAGACTTATCTTTGAACAATGCAGTTTAGCAGTAAGTTGTGAGTATCAAGGTTTAGGAATCGCCAGAAGATTGATCCAGGAAAGCTGGCACTTGGCACGCGACTGTGGCTACCGATTGTTCAGACTAGATTGCAATAGCAGGTAATGCACAAAAGCTTTCGTAACGACGTAAGAATGTAAAAGTGTTGAAAACTATCTGGAAATCGATCGGTTAAAATTTAGCTCGTCAGCCATAAAAAGAAAGCATTTTGCGATATTCGTTGTCTTATAGGAAAGCAATAAAAGATACGAAAGTTTCATTCCAACTGTATTAAAATAAAATAACTCGAGCACTACATCAGCAACTATCTTAGACAGAAAATAACTCTCGTTTTTTTATTACTTAGGATAAGAAGTTGCATTCTTTTCTTAAATGTATAAGTCCATCAACGATCTAATAAAATTCTTTTCGACACAGCTATTGTGCAAAGATAGCCCAAGGTTTTGGATGGCCAATGATCTGGGATATACCATTCGATCAATATGTGAAAAACGGTAAAGTCATCTTCAACCATGTTAAGGAACCACATACTACGTGTCGCGTCTTCGTTGATCGTTTACGATATTGTAAAACCTACTGCCTTCCTTACAAGGATTGTAAAACAACAACATCTGCTCCGTTTCCAGAAAAGTAAAATAAATGTTCTTACATTCTTGCGTTTGTCAATTATTAAAATTTGTTAATATTCATCGAAGATGATAATCGATAATCCTCGGCCTTTTTATTTCTAATTCTGCTACGTTCTATGGATTATTTTAGGTTCTATAACGTTTCTTTCTTGACAAATCTCTTAAGTTTGCAGAAAGTATAGAAGACTGATTGTTTGGAGTACTTGACTTCTCGTCTTCGGAATTTATAAATATAATTAGAGGAAAGATATTCATTCTCGCTTTAGTCTCCACGAATACGCAGAGTTCGACGGCTCCGGTGCTATAGGTCGTGCGAAAGTTTGCCAATCGAAGAGAATAAAGCGGTGGTAACATTTAAATGAAATTCTCGATATTTGACTTGTAAGCCCTGTCTCGATACGAAGCCGGATTTCGAAGCGCAACTTTTGTGAACGATGGAATTACAAATACCGTACAGAATCGTAGACAGTTTCCAGTCGAGGCGAATTCGGTTGCTAAGTTCGATTCGCGGAATGAAAGCTCGACATTGCGGGACGTCAATTG